TAGGGGGGGGGGGGTTGGCTAGGGGGTTCGATTTCGTCGCAGCAGCAAGCAATGGCGACAAAATGGCGAGGTGGAGCGGGTTCGATAGTCGTCGACGTGATCTGCTTCGAGAGGGAGGGGGAGCTTGGGGGAGGAAAGGGAAAGGAGAAGGCAGAGAAGAATGCAAATGCTAGACGATGCAATGCAATAACACCAAGGCCAAAAAGCTGGAAACAGTGAGCGAGGCAAAATGGACGAAAAAAAAAAGAAGCGAGAGAGAGAGAGAGAGTGTGTGTGTGTGCGTGCAGACAAGCCAGTGGGGTGCTGTTATCTGTTGCTGGTTGCTGCTGCTGCTGCTTCTAATGCCAGGAAATCCAGGAGCGAGTGAGTGGCAAGGGGGTGTGTCGCCATGGGAGAGATTGGGGCGACTTGTCGATTGTCTTTAAGCCCATGGATGCTGGGCGCGGCCGCTTTCACCCTGCCCTTACCCTTGCCCCATTGCCCCATTGCCCGATATGGGCTCCATTGATGATTGTCCACACTACTCTACTCTAGTAAGTCTACTACATACATAGAGTACTACATAGTTGCCTATATCCTTACCCATTGCCACAACCCTACCAATCACTGTCCTATCCACGAAGACATACCCTTCCACTACTGCACATCCTCACGCGCACTTCATCCAACCCCCCTCCCCCAATTCACCATGTATTTGCCATGTACCCAGTACCCAGTACCCAACACTTGCAACACCCCCCCCCCCTCCCACGCACAGACAATGGCCTGCACAAGCCACAAGGGACTTTTACCTACTATACATACTACCATGTACCGTATACATGCTGAGTACAGAGGATATCCTGTGCCAGTTCGTCTCCCACCAGTGCACGGCCAACCTCTGAATCTTTGATGCAGAGCTCTCTCTCTCTCTCTCTCTCTCTCTCTCTCTGTCTCTGTCTCTCTCTTTTCTTTTTCCTTTTCTTCTCCTTTCTGTTCTCTTCCTCTTCTCTTTCTCTTCTCCTACCAGATACCTAGTAGATCTAGTCACACTCTAGAGCAGTTCCTCTGCCCATAGCAGTGCCCCATTCTTTTCCTTCGAGCACCCCGTTGAGACATGGCCTGGAAACGGAGGCCGTCCAGTACAGTAGCCTCCCCCCCCCCTGTGGACAACCAGGACCTTAAAAGTGAGTAGCGGTAGTCATGTAGACAAAGACAGGCTTTTTCCCTCTCTCCCTTCATTCGCTGCACGCACTTGCACACTGCACGCACAACCTAGGCCAGTCCCGACCTTCTCCACTCCGCTGCACACATCACAACACAACACACCACAACACGTAGGAGTACTTCCCATCTGCAAAAGACGTGTTGACGCATACGAGTACGTAGCCGTCGTAGTACACACACCCTCCCCTCCCCTCGGCGCGGCCGCTGTTGCTGGCCCTCACCGCCTCGTTGTTGAATGTTCCCATGGCTCACGCTGCTGACCTTTCCGCCCTGTCCAAGCGCTGATTCGCCTTTGCAAAGCAAGCACAAACCCAGACAACGCCAAACCATCCGGAACCGCAAGGGTTACATCATCCGCGGCCATGCACTCGCCCGCTGAGTCCCCAACGCCAGACCAGCTTCCACGCCTCTATCGCTTCGTCTTCCTCTGGCTCGAGCCGGCGTCCATTGCCGTGGGCGCGCTCTACGCCTGCTTCATGCAGTCCACTTATCTGCGTCTCACCCACGCTGCCAGTGCACCACCACCCGCCTCCCTCCCAACCTCCGTTTCCATCATCATGGCTCAACTTGCCAATCTCTATCTTGGCCTTGCCATCCTCGAGGCATCCATCCTGCGCACTACTTCCGAGTTGTCCGTCTGGAGATGCACCCTCATCGGCCTGCTGATAGCCGACCTCGGCCATCTGCTTTCGGTTCGTGCCCTTGGCAGCAAAATATACTGGCAGTATTGGCAATGGAATGCCATTGACTGGGGCAACATACCCTTTGTCTACTTCCTCGCTCTAACACGCATCTGCTTGCTTCTCGATGTTGGCTTCAGGAGACAAGGTTTGAAGCTGAAAGTCACGTGATTCATAACCGAACACCCAAGTACAAGTAGTAGCAGCACCGCGTTGAGCCACTCTAGCCAGTGGGACCCCCAACCCTCTTTGGAATTCATGACTCCTGGTCTCTTTTTTGTTTTGAAATTAGTCTTTGTGGCGCCCTCAAGCGCATAGGCAATCACACTGGACCCTGTTGCTTTTTCATGTACAAAGTGCGGTAGCCTTGGGTGCTCCAGATTACGCACATACGTGCCCATTTGCTATGGTAGGTGTATCGTAGGAGTGGATTGCCTTTCATTCCGCTGGCACCTAGCAGTCAATGGCCTGCAGATAGCTGCTTG